AGGTACCGACTCCGGCTAAGGCCGATTTTGTGGCACTAATAAATATCTCGGCCTCTCCAAAACATTTCAGTACCAAAACCGGCTGGTTTATGGTCGAACCGGCGATTTCATTCAAAACCGGCCGGTTTATTCAAACCGGTCCGATTTAACGATATAACACCCGAAATAACGTACAGAACGGTATAATCTGAAATAACGACTGTTATTTGACATAGCGGGCGTTATTTGTAACATAAACCGTGAATCGAATTTTGTAGCCTTTTTTTATTCCAATTTCTTACTTTTTTTGTTTTTGTCGATCAATTATTGCACTTATACACCTGAAATTTTTTTAAAATAATTGTTTATTGAATCAAAATCGAAGAAGAATAATTTTTTGTGGATTGAAAATGGCGAATTTATGAAACTGTGAAATTTCCGCCAGTTTATCAATCTAAGCTTCAATACCCCATGAATATGCATGAAAATGAAGGGCTTTGATGCATATTGAAGGCTTAAACTTTTCCCTATTTCGATTTGTCGAAAAAGATGAATATTTGAGGTTGATTTCGGCTGAAAGTGAGCAGCAGCGAAGAACCGTATTCGATGAAAAAAAATTGATTTTTGATCCATGTATTGATCGTTTGTTTCGAATTTATCAATGAAGTTTGATCATAAAGGCTTCATCAACCGAATAAATTAGGTATTTTGATTTTATCATTGAGTAAATTTATTTATATGAATTTTTTTTGCTACGCTTTTGTTTTGAAAATTTCGTGAAGTGAAATATTCGCCATTTTTTGAAGAAGAATCTCAATAGTGAATGAATTTTCATGAAATATGGAGCATTTGAATCTTAATTGAAGTATTTATCATATCCCCATGTCAATTTGTTCAAAAAATGAAAGATTCGGGGTTGATTTTAACTCTAAAGTTTCTGTGTTCTTTGGCTCGATTTTTGGGTTCTTAAATTTTTTTTTTTTTTTTTAATAAAATTACGTTTTGTTTTTATAAAAATATGTTATTTGTGATGAATATGAGGAAAAAAAACTTCTTTCTTTTTAATTTTATATATTTTTGGTGAGCTTGTTGGATTGTTTTTAATGTTATTATTTTTTTTTTTTACAAACATATTGTTTTTTGTGATGAATGTGAGAAAAAAATATTTCTTTCTTTTTAATGTAATATATTTTTGATGAACTTCTTGTCTTGGACTGTTTTTAATGTTATATATTTTTTTATAAAACTATGTTTTTTTTGTGATGAATATGAGAAAAAAAAATATATTCTTTCTTTTTAATTTTATATATTTTTGGTGAGCTTGTTGGATTGTTTTTAATGTTGTATTTATTTTTTTACAAACATATGTTTTTTTGTGATGAATATGAGAAAAACATTTCTTTAATTTTAATGTTATATATTTTTGGTGAGCTAGTTGGATTGTTTTTAATGTTATATATTTTTTTATAAAAATATGTTTTTCATGTTAAAATTGAAATCTTATTTAACTTTTTTCATCTTAATTCTACATTTTTAAGTTGTATGTCTATGAAAGGCACAAATTCTGTGGAAAAAGGTTAATATCTTGAATATCTTTGTTGCCGAGGTGATTATTTTCTAGTTATGAAGGCTATTTATTGATTCATGGTCATGATAATTTAGGGGATAATCTTATATGGCCAACTTTGCCTTTCCTTTTCATGTATGATCAGTAGTGCTTCATTATTTTTCTCTAACTACTTATTTATTAATTTTTTTTGTTTGCATAATGATTTTGATTTGCTACTTGATCCCCATCGATTCAAGGTCTCATTGCTCCTTATTTCTATAACTGTGCATCATTTTTTTTGCTCCTCAATCCTATTTTTTTGTTCATGTATTGCAGGTTTATGGGATTATTGTGGATGTTTTCGTTTTGATGAAAAATTTGATAACTGACTGTTGGTGTATCTGCTGTCTGTGTTCTCAACTTCTTGTTTGGTTGTGACATTTTATTCTAATTTATTTTTTTATTTGTTACAAGTTATCCATCATTTGTTGCAACTTCACACTCCTGAAATCTATTTATCCTCTATGAAGAAAAGAGGTAGAAACCAAAAAGTGTTTCTCATCTCTCATGTTTCCACATGCTGAAATGGATAAAAAGTGTAACCTGTTTTTTTTTAAATATGCATCTTAATTCTACATTTTAAAGTTGCCATCTTATATAATTTTTTTTTTCATATTAAAACCCAACTCAAAAGGTTATTGAGTAAATGAGGTTTGACCAATTGAGATTTCGCCATTTGAAAAGCGATTTGGCCATATTTTTTTAAAATATGCAATTTAGTCATTTGCAGCAACACTTAACACCTTGACCCACACCCTGCATTTGATAACCAAGTTACTGAGTAAATGAGGTGCTCTCTCTTACTACCTTGACTCACAACCCCGTATTAAAGGGTTTTTCAACATTAAAACAACTTCTTTCAACATCAACATTAAAACAACATTAAAACGGTATAAAAGCATATATTATTGCATCAGTTTACTTTTTCTTTTATTAGTGTCTTCTATGGCCCATAAAGAAGTAGATATTTGTTGCAAATATTTTAATTTGAAAAACAAAATTTTGTTTGCACTTCATTTTTTTCTTTATTTCTTGTGTGTTTACTTGTATGGTTAATTACCTTGAGTTGCATTATGCCCAGAGGGATGAATCAATTTGTAATGCTTTATTTCATTTTGGGGTCATCGAAAATGCAAAAAGCACCTTGCTTGGGTAAAATATTGAGGCAAAAAAGTCTCAAATAATTTTTTTTAATGAAATTTTATGTTCAGGAAAATTTACAAGAAAATAACAAGATGAGAAGGGGGAATGTGACGTGGCAGTATGCCACAAAAGTGAATGATAGGGGAAGAGTTCGATGCAATTTTTGTAACAAGGAAATGGGTACCATGACCTCCCTCGCCACTCTCATTACTACTAGCCATTGTTAGTTGGACTTTGTAAAATCATTAATTGAATTAATGTCAAACTGCTCCCAGCCCCTTGACCGGTTAACCGTTCTAGTTCGATTTTGCGAACATTGCTCAAGATACTTTATTTCAGAAATATATCTCTGCATATTTCTTAACCTGATATTTGGCTCTATAGATGCAGAGGCTGGCCTGCAATCAGCATGCTCAACCTTAAATTTAATAATAAATTCTCAATATAAGAAGATTATATTAACACTTAACACAATTTCTTTCTCACTATTTTGATACCAAATATGAGATCAGCCTCACCAGGTCTTTCATATCAAAGTTCGATGAGAGAAACTTTTTAGCTTCCTCCACAATTTCTAGGTCCGTACAAAAAGTGAGCAACGATCTACATATAATATAATCAATTTATGATGCATAAAGAACCGGTAATTTTACAATACACCTACTTATTTGCCTCATTCACTTAAAAACACTTTTACAATATAACTTTGCCGAATTTCTTATGCCATTATTTACGTGTCTATTTCAGTTAAACAGATTTGACAAACTTATAGATTTTGCTATAGGTAAAAAGTGAGAAGGCGGCAGAGAATGCATAAGAGTTTCCCAGACCAAAAGCAGGTAGAGGAAAATGAAAGTACCAATTTCCATTTTCAAGGTCTTCTTGATACAAATACTACCGTAGACAACTAAACCACACACCTAGGACTCGTCACCAGAACTTTCCTAAGTGGGAAACCATTTTAGTCATGCAAGGCCACGAATAGACAAGCAACACGAAAAATGCAAAACAAATATGTGCAGAAACGCATGCACAAACTCAGTTATGAATATGCAAGGACATACATATGTAGGAAACTACCTACAAACACACTCTTTTTGGTAAGGAAAAATTTTATACAAGGTTGCAACCTTAAACTATAAATTAAGGTCACCTCAAAAATCCATCGAAATGTATGAAAATAAATCTTTTTTAAAAAGAGATTTGAGTCCTAAAAATAGTGCATCTCAACACATTATTTAGATGTCCATTTCCAAGATTTTCATGCATCTATAGATCTGCTTTATTTAAACCATTTTTGGAATTTTAATTTTATAATTAGAGATATAAATAGATTTTCGGACCATCCTAAAAGTTTTTGACACCATAATTGCATCTTATGGTAGAGTTTTGATGTGCACGTTACTTTGATTGTTTAAGTTTGCAACCTTATACAAACCACACCCTTTTGGTAATGGCATCAGCATCATCATCGTCAAAGCCTTTTCCCAACTAATTGGGGTCGGCTACACGAATCATAGTCTGCCATTCTGCTCTACTAAGGGTCATACCCTCAGTGAGGCCATAAGTCTCCATATCTTTTCTCACTACTTCCAACCATGTCCTTTTGAGCCTACATCTTGCCCTTTTTGAGCCTTCGCCTTGAACTAACCTCCTAACATATGTTGTACTAAGTCCACGCCACACATAGCCAGCTTACCTAAGTCCACTCTCTCTCATCTTATCACCTATTGGTGCCACATCTACCTTTTGGTAATGACATTTATTTTAATTTCTTTCCATTTTGTAGCCTATCACATGAAAATCGCAGTTTGTAAAACATGGAATATTTCAATCTAAAAGCATGAAGCACATATCTATCTCAACCTATTTGTATCAACTAATAATGCAAATGAACCATCTGTGCTTCGTTGATCTTGTCTTGTCCAGAGCATATAAAATAAAGCACTCTTAAACATAATGATCATGATAAATCCATAGAATTGAAGCAGTCAACCATTCTGAACTTTTTATTAGAATTACCCATTAAAACGATATGATATAACTATAAGAGAAGGTAGCTATTCTCATACAAGTTTTCACATTCCCACCAAACCCAAGCATGTTAGTTTCAAAAATTCACCGGATTGGTATCTCCAACCTGGTTATTAGGGTGGGAATGCCAAATACGCAGGGGATAATGGCAGGCCCATAAAATAAAATAAAAGTATTAGCTTTAAGATATCAAAACAATCAGGCAAAATGTTCTCATAATTCTAGGAGTCAGTACCTCGGTTTCTCAGGCAGAGCGCCGAACAAGTTGCCGTCACGGCATTCTGAAGCTGGTGGTGTCCAAGCATGTGCAATCTCATGTTAAATAACTCAATGAACTACATAAACATTTTTTAATGTGTTGGTAGACATCATATGGATGGAAGCATCAAATACAATTACTTCTTTTCAAAACTGGAAACGCACCCATTCTTAAACAGATGGCAAACTTTGCTATACTCGGATAACATTTACCATACTTATGAGACAAGACAAATATTTAATTCATCTAATTAGGAGGATTCTAGACAATACCATTTGTAGGTCTTCAAGATGGATCAGTATATCACAAGATTGATAAGGTTTGTCAGTATGGCCTTGGAAACCTTTCAAAATAGCATGGATCCTAGGATCTGTTGCTGATAGAACAGGGGAATTCTCCGAGAATGCTTTTTGGCGAATAATGTGCTCAACATGTGGTTGAAATGGGCCACCTATCACCACCTAAAAAGTTCTCACAATTTGTCAATATATAAATAAGGATGAAGTTTCTATAAGGCCCAAGCTTTACGAAAACAAAATAAAGCCTCACCTCAAATCTTCGTCTAGAAAGCATTTTCAACAATGGAAATCTCCATGATAGCTCTAAAATAAATTTTCAATACCAACAATAAAATTTGAAACTAAAAAAACGGTACAGATCTACTTATTCTTAGGGCAAAATGGACGGTCTAGATAACTTGTTAATACGAATTGTTTTTAGAGCTTGAAATCCTAATTTTTTTTCATGACAGTAATATTCAAGCAAAGATGATCGATATAAAGGTTTTTCAATACTTGAATTGCAATTTTAAATGAGTTATGAGGTGAGGCTTTACTTATTTTGATAGGGCTGCAACCCTATCAAACCATTTTCCTGTAAATAATAAATCTAGTAAAACAGAAAAAGCAAAATTGAGTTACAAATATCCTTTATATAAATTATTGTTGCATGTGTGGCCATTTAAAGGCCCTATGAGAGCATGCACTGAAATTATATAGTGAAATATTGGCTCCAGAGGGAGTGTGGTCCACTTTGGACTGCGAGGCATTGCTAATGCCAAGACTCACTTGAGTTTTTTTTTTTTTAAATTGTTAACTGTTCGAGACTCACTTGAGTTTTGACAGGGCTATGACTCAAGCGATGTCTAAAACTCGTAGTCTTGGGCATTGCGTGAGCACAACCAATAAGGTTTTGATGTGGGTTGTCCCTTGATGAAGTCGAGACAAATACGCCGGGGACTAGATGTGAACCCTGTATGTAATAGTTGGCCGGAGAGGACAATGGCCTAAATTCTCATCATTATATCAAATGACATGCACACTAGATAGCCGTCCGGGTAGCAGCTATTTAGATAAGGGTGTATGACGTGTACATGTGAGGAAGAGATGACTCCTTGCAACATTGGATTGTGTTGGAAGGACCCATGAAGCATAATGCTGAAATGGGACTTCGACTTGTCCTTAGGGAAGGACCTGTAATCCATGGATTAGGATCATATCTCCTTCATTTATTAGCGGATTTTGATACTCCAATTATAAAACCTTGCGAAGGGTTGTGGGTCATGGGAACTATTGGGCCAGTTTGAGAAGGTATAGTGAAATGCAGTCTCTAGAAATGATGGAGTCCTCAATATATTTGTTGTAATCCTAACTCCATGGATCCAATTCCCATCAAATCTTCTTAGATATATTTAAATATGTCTTGGTTAACTTTTTGATAATTAAAATCATTTTTTAGGCTTTTCTGGGTATTCCATTTTAATGAAATATAATTTTTAAATAAGTTTTCTAGTTTTAATTTGATTAAAGAGAAAAATAAAATATTTGATGACATTATAAAATTTATTTTAATATCTGTAAATTATATTTAAGATATCGGAGGCCATTGGGATTCATTGGGCCCACCAATTAGTGGGGCGTGGGGCCAACATGGTCACCCATAGGGTGGTGCGTCCCAACTCCTTATTCTTCTCTTTCCTATTTTATGGCTTGTGCCATTAGGCATACAATTAATTGAAATTGGAATATTTTAGGAAAGAGTTCGTACAGAGACTTTGATTTATTTCAAAAGGGGAAAGTATAAAAGATTTACTAAATTTGATTTAGTATTTTCTTTACACAATATTTTATGGGAATAGAGTTATGAAAATTGAGAGATAATGGTTGAATTTCATTCCTTTTAATCATGATGGCCGATCTAATAAATAAATGCATGAGATCTCTTCACCCCACGTCTCTATGTTCAAAGATCATGATTAAGTTTCATAATGATGACAAAACCCTAACCCTATAAACCCTAGCCTTTATGTTATATAAACTAGCGAGGAGCCCATTCTTCACACAATTCATATCTTAATCTCTCTATCTCTTTGAGCATAAGGGGTAGTACGCCCCTCTTTGATCTATCTCGATTTCGCTCTCTAAAATTAGGGTTTAGAAAATAAAAGAAACCCTAAGGGGTGGCACGCCCAAACCACAAAGCCTAGGCCATAGGTACTAGCTTTATGCTCATATATTGAGTCTTGGTCTAGTTTATCCTATGTCATGCTCTCTGTTGGTTTTGCCTAGGCTTTCCAAGTTGTGAGACAAATTCTTAAACCTAGATCCCGTGCGTCATTGGTGGAGGAGACTTAGTGTGGGGTTTACAAAGTCCTTGAGGATAACCTATGCGGTATTTTATTGTTTCATGCTTTCTTGATATAATTGCATCTTTTATGTAATTTTCAAATTCAAGTTATGAATGTAATTTTGTTTTGATGGCAAGCAAGTGAGAGTCTTTAGCATTCTTGTATTTTTATTTGGCTCATATATTGTATTAGGACACTTGTAAGTGATCCGGGTGGTAATACATAAGAAAAAAGATAGAAAAAATTTAATCGGTCTTGACTTGGCCAGTCACATAATCCTTCTTTCAAGACCTTTATTAGAGAAGTATTTCTTTAATGTACTTAACATTTTTTGGACACTTGATACCCTTACCCCACAATGTAGTAACTTTTTTTGGACACTTGATACCCTTAACCCCTTATAATAACACTTTTAGGACCATCTAGATCTTCCTCATATCTTTATAAAATTTGTAGGAAGTCAAAGATATTTTTTTTATTTTGGTTAAAACAAACTCCCACTTGAATAGGGAGCAAATCTATTTAATTTCAAGAGATTCCCTAACTAACTTTTAATTAAAAGTGAGTAGGGTGTGCCACCTTATGAACTTTATGTGGGGCCCACAAGGCCACATGTCCCACTCATGGATGGAACACATGTCAGGGCTGGATCCTAGGTCCCCACATGTGCCCTTCCTTGTTCTGAAAATTTCGAATATACCCTTTTAATGAATAAAAAGCATAAATAAATTTTTGAAATTTCTAAAATAAATTTTTAAAATTCATAAAAATATTTCTAATACCAAAATAAAATATTTATAAGTGGATTGATACTAATAGGTCAAAAGTAGTGATAATAAGGTACTCGACTTGACTCAATAACTATGATCTACTACTGTCTTCTCAACCAACCCAACAGAGACCCAAGATCCACAGTCTCATGCAGGGGGCTCATGATTTGCTCATCAAAATTGACCAATAAACAATGAAACCGTGATCCCAAAACATGGATTTCAGTTCCCCCCTCTAACAGTAAATCTAGCAATTGACACTATAGTGCAAAGAAGGCTCTCTCTGTGCACATGTACATGTGTCTTTCTACAGTTGTCATATGTACATGTCGTGCAGAAGTTTGTTGAGCATGTACATTAGTTTGTTGAGACTTTGGCCCTCACTCTCATAGACCTACAACCGCACACACGAAATCACACAATTCTCATGGCTTACAAAAATCATCTCTTCGACCTCAACAAAGGATGACCCATTATAAATACTTTTCGATTGTGCTACATGCTCATAGGTAAGGGTTTTAGGCCATTAACTGCCCAACCCTTAGTTAGTCAATACAAACACTCCCGCTGAAGTGCAAAATCACTATAGATGTCATTTTTAACATGCTCTCTAAACCTTCAAAGGCCACAAACCCCAACGAAGATTACCTTAACAAAACCATATATATATATATATATATATATATATATATACAATATTTTAAAAAACGGTCCGCCTGGCACCTAGGAGGCCTGGACCAAAAATCTGCCCTCCTAAACCCAGGCGGCCCTATATGGGCGAATGTACCTGGGTGGGTGCCCAGGACAGATGTACCAAGGCGGGCGCCCGCCTAGGCATTGGACGCCAGGCAAGCCGCCTAAGGGCCGCCTAGCTTTTTTTGAAACCTTGTATATACATGGAAAAGCATCCCGTACACATCATATGGACGGGTGGAAGCGTAACAAAAATTGATTTCATATTTTATTTTTATTTTAAATAAAATATTTATCTAGATTTTTGGTTGTAGGTCTATTTTTATAAAGGGAACTAAATAAAAACGATTAATAAATTTTATTCAAAATATTTTGTTATTATATATATGGAAAAAGTTTACATAAGGGTGAGGCCCTAAACAATCAACTTAATGCATACCTCAAAAATTCACTAGAAGATGTTGTTTTGAAGCTGAAAAACCCTCAATTCGATCATCTCCACCTCAAGATGTATGGACACGAGATAAAATACATCTCAAGTCCTAGAAATAGTGCATCTTGTAATGTATTATCTGGACCGTCAATTTTCAAGTATTCAAGGATCTGCTCGATCTACACTACTTTCGAATCTTTAAATTTTATAATTAAAGACGAAAATAAATTTTCAGAGCATCATAAAGATTTCTGATACTGAAACAACATATTTTCAGCACTATTAACTTATTTTCAGCACAAAAAAGGTGCGCTTTACTTTGATTATATATATATATATATATATATATATATATATATATAGTATATATATATACTAATACATATACGAATAACTAAACAAAACTAACTACTACTATGTTACGTATTACTATTA